TTCCCTTTTTACCCTACTGGAGAAGTTTTTGGATGTGCATAGGGATTTGAGTCTTAGAAGGTCCCATTCATCTATGTTATCTTCTCCTGGTTGTAGCCAAATGTAACCTTAAATTCTTGGGATACACAGAGTGTTTGGTTGTTTTTTAAATGAATTAGTAGATTAATATGAAGCATTGATTTTTCTTTCACTAAAGCACGTTGGTACCATTGGCATTTTGGGACAGATAATGCTTTTTGTGTGGGAAGGGTCAGTTGGTGCTGTCCTGCGCATTGTAGGGTGAGGCTTAGTAACAGCCCTTAGCCACGACCTTGTACTAGCATTTCTCTGTTAGTTGTACCAACCAAAAATGTCTCCAGATATTGCCAGATGTTCCCTGGGGACATAATTGCCCCCGTTCAGAAACCATTGCACTTTAAGTAAGCTTTAGTTAAGTACCAAGTATGTGGGATTTCTGACAAGTGGTCTTTGTGTGCCCTCTTTTACTACTGCTTGCAAGTGCAAATGGTTGCAGCCACACTGTCAGATCTTTGCGAAGCGCAAATGTAAAGCCAATCTATAGGTGTCACATTACAATTTTTAGAGTCCTTTTATATATACCATGTTTTAAACAGAAAACAACTTGGCATGGTAGGAATCTTAGGTGGAAGCTTCCAGAAATTGAAAGATGAACGTTTACATTGGAAAACGTAATCTCTGCAGAGGAAGCAGAGGGAGTGCATGGCCATGATTCTTTTTAAAAAATTCTTTATATGCACCTTAAACTCTTCCATAACCCCGGTATATCTTTTCCTGTCCTCCTCATTATCCAGGTGTTTTTGAAAATAGTTAACCTCGAGACTCTATAGGCTTATTTATGAGTCAGAATTACTTGATAACAGTGTTTGTTTGCTTTTAAGAACTCATCCCTGTCAAGAAAGCTGTTAGCATTGAGGTAGTAAGAACATCATAATTTTAGGTCTTTCCTCAAGTAGACTTGCTTGTATTTCTCTGTAAAACCTCCTTGTATAAGAATTAATAGTGTGGAGGGGAAAAAAAAGAATTAATGTGTTCAATGCTTAGCTGAACTATTCTTCCCTTGTCTGTCCTTTAGCCTGAAGCTCCTAACGGGAGAGGTTATCCAGAAAGGAAACAGAAATGTCATGAAAAATCTATTCCCCAGGGATTTCTGGAGGCATAGTCCATACAATTGTGCTAATCCAGAGGTGGTTTGAATCCAGCAGCAACTGCAAAGGAGAAAAATGGGCGAACATCTGTGCTATTTACAGTCTTGAATTCCACCAACAGGGTAGCTGTGAGCTCATTCTGACTTAAATGGCAATGAGAGAGAATAAATCTGGATGGTAATGAGAGAGAAAAAGAAGCACTGGTGGCTCTGTGGTAGAATTCTTCTCTGCCATGCAGGAGACCTGGCTTCAGTTCCCAGCCAGTGCACCTTCATGGGCAGCCACTACTTGTCTGTTAATAGAATTTTACCTGGTGGTTACTATAAGGCTGCAAAGGGGGTTGAACAAATTATGGATTTTTCTATATTGTATTTTAAAAAAGAAAAACAACAACAAAACAACCAAACTGAAATTCATTGCTGCCGAGTCAGAACTGACTTATAGCTGACCTTCCAGTGAGTTTTCAGAGGCTATAAATTACACAGAAGGAGATAGCTCATCTTTTTACCCAGGAAGCTGCTCCTACCTCTCCAAAGCACTGAAGAGCAAAGATGTCAGTCTGGAGACTAAGGTGCACCTGATCCAAGCCATAATCTTCAAAATTGCTTGCTATGCATGAGAGAGCAGGACAATGACTAGAGATAGAGAGAGAATTGATGCCTTTGAGCTGTGGTGCTGGAGAAGAGTATTGAATATACCATGGTCTGCCATGAACATCCTAGAGAGGGTGAAGCCAGCCTGATCGTTGGAGGCAAGGATTCTGAGGCTTTGTCTGACATACTTTGGACATGTTGCAAGAAGGGTCCATTCCTTGGAGAGGGATGTCATGCTTGGGAGGGTGAAGGGAGAAAGGAGAGGGAGACCGTCGATGAGATGGGTTGATACAGTGACTGGGGTAATGAAGGTAGGTGTGTTGGAGACAGTGAAGTTGGCACAGGATAGATCAGGCTTCAGGGCTGTTGTACATAGGATCACTGTGAGTCGCAAGTGCCTCGACGGCACATAACAACCACCACCACCATCTTTGGATTGACAGTATAACTCTCTACCACTGACCAGCAGATCTCTCAGTATTATTTCAGTGATAAAACTACAGGTGATGTAAATCTGTCCCTTTAATAGTGTTATATAATTCTATAGCAAGAGTAGGAGTGGCATCCACTTCCTAAACAACATGACTCTGAAAACCCTATGAACTGTGAGAAACAACGATAGTTATGAAAAGGCTTCAGGTCTTTTGTTCTTAGGGTTGTTAATTGGATGGCAATTAACAACAACATAGCAACAAAAGCAATGGAAAAATCACCCTTATTTCTTAAAAAAAAAAAGTGCTGAACAAGTTGCAATAATGCTTTCAGGCTAAGTCAGCCTAGCGATCAAATTGCCAAAATTCATCAAAGAAAACCCTTTAGATAACAGCATCAGAACGATGATTCTACCCTGCCTTTTTGGGTCCCTGTTGAATCTGTCCTCTTCACATGCACACCCAGACTTCTGACCAGGAAAATGTGCTATCCTAGTGATTTCTATCCTTTCCCTTTTCTGCTCTGTCCTCCCTTTCCAATTATCTTTCTGGATATTTATAAATTTTATTAGTTATCCTTCTATTATTGTTACTATGTGAGTGAGTTAGTTCAGTCAGCATAATGCTCTCTACACTTTCACGTCATATAGTATTTTACAGAATAATTGTTCCTTGTTGCATAGTATTCCACTGTGTAAATGTACCTCAACTGTTTTTCTAAATGACTGTTTCCTTTTTCTTGCTATTAGGAATAGCACTGCTATGAACATAGGTGTGCATGTCTCTGTTTGTGTCCCAGTTGTAATTTCCTTGGATTATATTCATAGCAGTGAAATATCTGGGTTATAGGGAATGTCTGTTCAGCTTTTGGAATGCCAAAATGCCTTTCAGAATGGTTGTCCCATTTGACAGTCCCATCAGCAGTGCATGGCAGTTCCAATCTCTCTACATCCTCTGAAACATTTATTACTTGCTGTCTTGTTAAACTCTGCTGCTGCTGCTGGGATGAGATGGTATCTCATTGTTTTGATTCACATCTCTGATTTCCAGTGATTTTGAGCCTTTCTTTTAGCCATCTTACTGTCTTCCTTTGTGAAGAGCCTTTTCATATCGTTTCCCCTATTTTGTTATTGGGTTATCATTCTTATTTCCTGTGGGGCCCCTGGCAATCAAATTTCTAAAATAGACCCAAGAAAACGCTTTGAGTTACAGTGTCACTACAGTGATCTATTGTGCATGAGTCCATCATAAGTTGTGGCTGACTTTGGCTCAACTAACAAGAAGGGTAGTTATAAATATAACTTTTTTATGCACTCACACAATGTTAGGAAATTGTTTTGAAAATTTTCCCCAGCTTTTACTGACATAGATTAGTTACAACATTTGAGGTCATGGTATTTCCTTTTGTTTTACATTAGGTTGATGCACCTGCCTCTGTCCTTGACTACCTTGAAGCTGAAGGCTCTCTGGTTATCGGACAACCAGTCCCAGCCTCTGCTCACATTCCAGACAGACACCGATGGCTCCACAGGAGAGAAGATTTTAACCTGTGTCTTACTTCCTCAGCTGCCTTCTGAACCTCCTTACCAAGGTGAGCTCCATGTAATTGGACGATAATCATGTGGTCTCAAGACCACAGTAGGGACTGATGTCTGGTCCACGGAGTTACTTACTCCCACATGTGACTGCAATGGCATTTCATTTGGTCTGTTCTTAGAGCTGCCCCAGTGGGGTCACTGGACAACCTGGGGGCAGAGTCTTCCTGCTGCTGCATCTTTGTGAAAGCAGTGCCCCCTACTCCTGTTTATCATGTCTGAAATTCTCTAAATAGCCCTTTAGATTTTTGTTAAGGCTAAAAGCAAAAATGTTCCTTAGAAAGGTAACAGTTGTTGTTGTTACATACTACTGAGTCAGAGCCAATCCATAGCTGACCCTCTGGCAGGTTTTCAGAGGCAGTAAATCACATGGGAGGAGACTGTTCATCTGTCTCCAGCGGAGCAGCTGGTAGATTCAAACCACATGCATTTGGACTGGCAGTGCAATTTCTCACCTCTAAGTCACTGTAGAAAGACAGCAGAATGACTTAAAATCCACACTTACCATCTGAGGGTTAGTAGTTAAACTATCAGAATAACCACCACTGTTTCTAAGGCAACAAGATACTTTGAGTTACACTGTCTCTATTTTGTAAATTACATGTGGTTTTAAGAAAGAATCACACTAGTAGCAAAATGCTATTGTAATTCCTTTGCTTGAAAGCCAGCTTTGATAGAAGAGAAATGGAGTGTTCTTGGAGAATGGGAGCCCCATGTTGGAAAGACCTCCAAACTAACTTGCCAATCCCAGGTTTTTCTGATGAGCTTTTAATACTCTAAAAGGAAAAAAAGTACCCAGTCGTTTCAGTGATAAAATTCTCACCTTCTTTGAGGAAAACCTGGGTTCGGTTCACAAGCACTGCCTGTCGGTTCCCCTGTCTGTTCCTGATAGCTTTTGTGTTGCTGTGAAGCTGAACAGGGTACACCAGAGGTTTCAGACTATGATGGACTAGGAATAAAGGCCTAGCAATCAACTTCTAAAAGATGAGTCCATGAAAACTCTTTGGATCTCAGTAGTTCCTTCCCTCATAAACCAGTCATGTGGATGGGCAAGATCAGATGGTGTTGGTTCAGTTGAGCAGCGGGATGCCAGGAGTTAGAGACCTACTTAACAGCAGTCAACAACAGCCATAAAGAGTAACAGTGACAAACCACTGCTGTTAACAGATAACAGAGTCCTGTTGTGAGAATTGTTTACATTAGTGTATGTGAAAATGATTGAGGAAAAGGTTCTGAAAGTGATTTAAGATGTTCGTAAAGAAATCGTAAACATACACTTTAGATATTTTAAAACTATTCTCATGTGTCATTAACAAAAAGACACAACCCCACCCTAAGTCTTTTGCATTTCGGGGTAGTGTTTGTATTGTGGTAAAATACATTTCTAGGACAGAATGTTTGCCATGTTGACTACCTTTAAGTATGTAATCCAGGGCATTAGTTACACCTACAATGTCAGGCCACCATCACCAACTACATCTCCAAAATGTTTCTAGGCCTCTATACACAACCTTCCACTAAGAAAACCACTCTGCTGTTGAGTTAGTTTTAGCGCAGTAGTGACCCTGTGCTTGAAGCTGTTAAATCTTAAGGGAGCAGTTTGTCCATCTTCCCCCCTTGGAGCCATGAGTCAAGTTGACCCACCGGAGATGTGTGTGGGGGGGGGGTTTGGTTAGCAACACAAGTTGCAAAAGACTGCCCCTTTAAAACTAGCATAGGGGTTATTTTTTATTTTAAAACCAAGAGTTGGAAGTTGAAAGCATTCATTAGCCTTCCTTATTTCAGCTGTTATACCCCAGATTCTTCATACATATTCTAAGACCAGTTGCTCTTGAGTTAATTTAGATTCATGATAACTTCTTACTCACATAGAAACATGTTCCATAAGGTTTTCAATGGTAGATTTTTCTTTTCTAGAAGTAGATCTCCATGCCTGTTCGCCAGCGTACCTCTGGGGTAGATTTGAACTGTCAACCTCCAGACCACATTAAAAACAGTCACTTAAGGACTCACTTATTCAGTCGAGTTGGTCACCAGTCTGGGACACAGCTGTTGCCAAGCATGTGAACCAGAGTTCCCCACTCATGTGCACTTTGTCCTTTGTCCTGACAGAGAATCTGCCTCGCTGTGGTGCACTGGAGAACTTGGTAAACGATGTCTCGGATGAAACTTGGAATGAGAGTGCAGTCAACAGAGTCAGTGCAATCCGATTCTTGGATGGCGAAATAGATGAAGATGAAAATGAAACGGTATGGAGATGGAAATTTTTTATCCCCATGGAAGTTCAAATTTGAAAGCTTTCCAAATATTGAGAAGGGTACCTCCTCGGATTGCTTTTATTTTAAAATAGTATGGTTTCTGTTTTCCCTTCAGCATTTCAATTCCTTTAGAAGATAAAACTAAGTACTTTTAAATCTTAATTCACAACATATAAATATGGGAAGTGGGATCTTCGAGTTTTTGTTTGAATAATTTGTATTGTCCCTACACCCCTTTCTCTCTGTGGTATCTCTACCTCCTCACCCTTCACTGCTTTCTTAAGAGTAATTGTTGTTGTGTACCATCGAGTTGGAAATGACCTATAGCTGACCCTCTAGCAAGTTTTCAGAGGCAGTTAATCACATGGGAGGGGAGTGTCCATCTTTCTGCCACAGAACAACTAGTGGATTCAAACCTCAGTCCTTTGGGGTGGCAGTGCAACTCCTTACCACTTGGCCACCGGAAACTTTTTTGTTGTTGTTTGAATTCTCCTCATTTTTTACTATACATTGGGGGCGATTTCTGTTGCTGTCATTCACGTTTTGTCACATTTTGACTTAGCTTTTTGTACCAGGCTTGTCTGTCCTCCTCAGACCCGGTTAGCTATTTACCTCCGTGTGGAGTATGTGTGATTCTGGTGGGATGACTGAGGGGTCCTTTAGAAGTGAGGGACAGATTCAAAAATCTTTCCTGTCTTTACTTACATCTGGGCTTAATAGTATCTCTCAGCAATTGTCAGTAGAGTTTTGCTACTATAAACACCTCACCTTTGTTTTGTCTTAAACTTTGGGGGAAGGATGACTTCACCTAGAATCTGTGACAATTCTTTGCAATTTTCCTACAAGTTGACTCTGACTTCTTTTTTTTTTTCTTTTTATTAAGATTTATTATTAATTTCAGTGAAACTTTACAGAGACTTTGGATTTCCATTCATTCATTGTTGCACTTTTCTTCCCTCCCAACCCTCCCCTCTCCCCAGTACACTACCCTCTTGGAAAAGTAAAAGAAAGATTCTTTCATTGTTTTACAATACTTCCCCCCAGGTCCACTCCACTATGCAACCTTCGCTCTGGACTCCCATCATGACAAAAATACCTAATAATTTTTCCTCTTAAACAGTTTTTTCCCTCATCTGTTTCAATGCAGTATACATTATTTAACCCATCTTTCTCAGTCTCCCCCCAGCCCTGAGGTCAATCCTGTTTTACAACAGCGGCACCATGCAGTATTTGTTCTTTTGTGACTGAGATATTTTACTCAGTATAATGTCCTCCAGGGTCACCCATTTTGAATAATATTGCATGAGTTCCTTGTTTTTCAATGCAGCGTAGTAGTCCATTGTGTGACTATACCACAGCTTCTCTATCCATTCGTTTGTTGATGGGCACTTAGGTTGTTTCCAACTCCTTGCTATTGTGAACATATCCATGATGAACATGGGTGTGCAGACTCTGACTTCTTGAAGTCCTTGCGCTGAGATTTTCTTAAGGAGAACTAATGGGAGCAGCTGCTGCCTCCCATTTACATCCTGGCCTCTAGTTGTTGTCCTGGCTATCACAGAGGGAATCTGACTCTTGGCACTAGTCCAGCACAAAGTGTGAATTAGGGACAATAAAGCAACTTTACCATAAATGACTCTTAGTGCTTAGTCCTGTCTTGTTAGAGCCTAATTAGTTTGCCAGATACTTCACCACCTGAGTGATGCTCTTTTAGTATTTTGTGACCTTCATTTGGCTCTTCCTGAAATTCCTGGATGGGCTATTTAAAATTTAGACAAAAATTTTGGTTTTTTAAAGACTGTTGTAAAATGTTAAATAATAAGATTTTTTTTAAATTGCTCATACTTCGTAGTTTCATTCCCTGCTCCGTAGTCTGTAAGCAGTAGACCATAGACATAGCCATAGAACTAGACCATAGAAACAGTAGTACAAGAAGGAAAGAAGACCTTCTCTCTCTCAGCTTCCCTTTTGTTTTAACTCCTGAGCCTCAAAGGCTAAGAGAAACCAGACTACTTTTGGGGTTATAGTAGAGCATTATAGTGATAGTCTTCTTCTTTACTATATATATTTTTTTAAATTTTTTTTTTTTACTGTTCATGAAACTTAGTTTTTATCTCAAAATTAATCTTATTTTTAAAACCAAAACTAAAATATCTGCCCCTGAGTGGATTCTGTCTCCTGGGGACCCTGTAGTACAGGGAAGAACCATCCCAGAGGGTCTAAAGCTGTAATCTTTACAGAAGTAGATGATTATGTTTTTCTCAGAGAAGGAGCAAATGATGGGTTTGAACTACTGACTTTCCTGTTTGCTGTCAAATGCTTAAATACTGCAGCATTCGGGCTCACTTGTTGTATTTTTTAAAAATACATTATTTTGAGGTATATGAAATGCTTTTTTATCTTCCATTTATTACTGATAAGCAGTTGGTAAATGCACCTAGCTCCAAAGAAAGCTTTTCACCCACTTTAACTCATAATCTCTAAGGAGGAGCTTTGCACTGGAATGCTAATACCTCACAGCTGCATGTTTGAAAGAGGAAGGGGATAAAACCAAAACACTCACTCCACTGTTTTCTTCCAGAGAACACTTCTAAGGCGAGCCACTCCACACCCAGGGGAGTTAAAGAACATGAAAAAGGCAGTGGAGAATTTACGGAATGGCATGAATGCTGCTAAAGGACTGGATTCCAACAAAAATGAGGTCAACCATGTCATTGACCGAGTGACCACGTCTGTGTAGACTTGTACCTCCAAATTTTACCTCCTGTGTCTTCCCCTGCTGTGGAGATGTTCCAGTTGCTTCCAGGAGCTTCACAAGGTCCTCTGTCTTAACCAGAACCGAGCACATCATCTCTGCAAATGGCATGTCGGGATGCTGCTGTGTCAAGGAAGTGCCTTACTCGAATCCGTCACCCGTATATGCACCAGTGAACTCCGAGCCTGTGTGCTTTTGATTGGTTATTGTTTTTTAACTTTCAGCTGTTTATAATAAGTAGAATACACTACTGTAAACATTTGACCTTTGTTGTTGTCTTATGTTGGGAAAGAAAGAGCAGGAAGGGGAATTTTTAACCTTGTTTTCCTTCCATCAGTGCTGGAACATTTTGGACCCAAGTTCCCTTGGACCTACTGATGAGAGATAGTTTTATGTGTAGAGGCATAAACTGATACTTTTTAATTTTTTTCTTTTGGGGGGCAGCTCAGAAGGTGTAAATTTTAAAAATTTTGTATAGGTATTTCATAACAAAAAAAATGTATGGTTTTTTTTTTTTTATTTTATCATGGAAACGGTGTCTATTTTAGTATTTGTGCAGGGAAAAAAAAATTACAGTCCTAAAGTATTTGTTTTAATTTGAACCATCCACTGTGCCTTACTGTAACCTGTGTCATGTCCAGCTATAAACAGCGACGTTCATGAGCAGCGAGTGAATGGAGAGTAGGAATGTGGTACTTTTAAAGCAGTGTTGTATTTTAATTAGGAATCTATCTACCTGGTAGATTTGTTTTCAACCAAAAAGAATGACCATTGATTTTTAAATTTTATCAATTGATTGTTTTTCTTTTGGAAAGTTGAACCAAAGGATTAAACTACTTCTATGTCATTTCTTACACTTTAGCTTTTCATGAGTAAGTTTCTTACAGTGGTTGCCGGGCCAGACCGCACCCACTCCAAAGTTATGTGCCATTTGTAAAATAAAATAGAGCAGAAGAAGCACAAAAAAGGAAAACTGATTCAGAAGTCCAGCAGGTAAACAAATTACGTACTGCAAAGGAAATGATTATTTTTACTGAAGAAAGCTTTAATAGTTTTATATTCAGATATAAAACCATAATAAAGCAAAATAACCTACAACGATAGTAGAAATGGTAGTATCTTTATAAGTGTAACTTTAATTTGTAAATAGAGTTTGAATCAAAGTGTAACAAAATATTGTTTCAAGATTTAATTTTAAATCTGCTAATTTAAGTGGTATGGGGTATGTTTTGGTGTGCTTCTGTTGGGTTTTGTTTTGTTTTTTTTTATGATGTGATAAAAGAAATGAAAAGTGCTAGTCACTATATGGTTGTCTAGGGAAATCTTGTCAATTTATTTTCCTCCATTAAATAAATTCAACCTGGACATTAAAAGTCAAACAGCTTTTTTAAATCAATTACTCTATATCTATAGGAATTCCAGGATGGCACAAAAAATTAGCATTCAACTACTAATCAAAGTATTGGTGATTCAGATCCACCCGTAGAGACCTCTGAAAGATCACAACCATTGCAAACAATATAAAGCAGTTCTATTTCCAACACATAGGGTAGCCCAAGCCTGAATCAACTTGGTAGCTGTTGGTATATGCATGTTCAAATGATGGTGGGTATCTATTTCCTTTGATAATGAGTTACTATCTGTTCAATAAGTTATTGGTCACTTTTGAGTTAACTTCAGAGAGCAGACACCAAAATTGTCTTCAACTTTGACTCAGTTTGGGTTGTAGATGTCTAGCTAATCAGACTCCTTAGAAGTCAATCTTAAAAAAAAAAAAAAAGAAGTCAATCTTAAGTTAATGCAATACAATATTTTTTCCTTCTGTACATTTACTTACTGGGTTCAGTGCTTTTTAGATTGTACTCTTATTTTTAAAACTATTAATTGAGTTGAAAGTTCATGGTACATAAACACATTTCACCCAGTCATTCAGTTTATACCTTGATCCCCAGAAAGCCTCTTTCCTTAACTGATGGATACTCATTTTTTTTTCTTCTTTTAAAGACTTGAGATATATTTCATCTTGTCCTAAGTTTGTGAAATGATGCCACTAACTAATTGGCTGATAAGCAAATTGGTTTTGTTTCAGGTAAATTATCTTGACAACAAAGAACAAATACAATGTGCATTGCAGTTTTTGTGTTACCGTTTACTACTCAATTGTGGGTTCAATGGATTAGAGATGGACAGGCATGTATGTGTGTTGTGTGTATTTGAATATTTTTTAGGAATTTTTTTACATAGTTGTTTTATCTTCTTCACACTCACCTTGTTATTTTTATTTTCGCGCGCGCGCGCGTGTGTGTATGTGTGTGTGTGTGGGGAAAAGTTCCTTTCATCATAATTGCTATGCTCTGCGGCACTGTGATGCTATTTAACTGTGATGCTGATACCAGACTTGGACTTGAAAGTGGAAATGGTGCCAGTCATACAAACCCAACTTGAAAACATACCAAACCACTCCAGCAAGGTCCCCCTTTAGTTGTGAAGAAAACTTTGTTAGGATACCTCTCTTAGAAGCCTAGTGCTGTAAGCTCCCGATAGACTTTTAGTGGAGAATGTTACGTAGCATTGTCAGGAGTTTGTACCCCTTGTTCTCACCTCCTCTCCGCAAGCCTGGCTCTTTTGTAGGAGAGGGGTACAAACTATGTCCCAACCATTCATCTTGTAAGAGTGACCCACTAAAAGCGGGAAAAGAGAGCACTATGAACTATTCACCTACTTTTTTTTTATTTGCCTCTTATGTCTGCCTCTTTTCAGCATGGACTTAAGAGTTGGTGAAAAGACCCCCAAAATCAGAGGGACTGAAATAATGAAAGTCAGTGAGGATGAAAGGAGGGGGGACAGGTAGGACATCTAGAAGTGCATGGCCCTTCTTCTAGAAAGTTTGGAGAAATGATCTAGACAACCAGCCTCCAGACTTACTACTAGTTAGGTGTCTACCAGGTGGAAAAGCACACATGGGATCGCTCACCCTAACCCGCCAGCGTCTGGATGCCATCACCCGTGAAACTACCACACCAAAGAAGGCATGCCTAATGGTTAGGGTGGAAGCTAGTCAAAGTCCTGCTCCTGTCAGTAAGTTACACTCACTGCCAGTTCTGACCTTGTAAAGATGGCTGGCACCCTCACTGTGGGAACTGGGCTGGAATGTGGTGAAGGGAGTGTGGTCAGGCTGTACGCACACTTTCTAATGAGGGACTATGAACTGAAACTGCCTATCATACATAATAGTAAGTAGGGAGCCCTGGTGGCCTAGTGGTAAGAAAAATTGCACTGCGATGCCAGAGGCACATGGTTCAAATCCACCAAGTGCTCCACAGGAAAAGCATGGGCAGTTCTCCCATGTCATTTACTGTCCCTGAAACCCCACTGGAGGGTTAGCTATGGGTTGGTTCTAAGTCTGTGGCAAATGACAACAAAAGCAGGGACAGTTTGGTGACATCCATGGAGAGATGAAACCTCATTACGACATTTGGTGTTGGATGAGTTAACTCATCCAACTTTCCAAAAAGCCTTTTTTTAAAAACAAAAAGGAAACACAAAAACTCTTTTCTTTTTTTTTCTTTTATTTTTTATTTTTATTTTTTTAATAATTTTAATGAATCTTTACAGAGAATTTGGATTTCCATTCATTCATTGCCGCACTTCTGTCCCCGCCCAGCCCTCTCCCCCTGCCCCCCAGTTCGCTCCTCTCTTTCAGAAGTAAAAGAAAGACTCCCTCCCTGGTACACAATCCCCCCGGACCCCTCCCACCACCCCAAGTACATTCCACTATGCAACCTTAATTTTGGACTCTTGTGATAACCATAATACACTGTCATACATCACTTTTATATTCAGTCCCTCATCTGTTTCAGTGCAGTATACACAATTTATCCAGTTTTTCTCAGTCTTACCCCCACCCTGATATCAGTCCCACTTTACAGCAGTGGCACCATGCAATATTTGTCCTTTTGCGACTTGAGATATTTCACTCAGCATAATGTCCTCCAGGCTCACCCATTTTGAATAATATTGAATGAGTTCCTTGTTTTTCAATGCAGCATAGTATTCCATTGTGTGAATATACCCATTCGTTTTTTGATGGGCACCTGGGTTGTTTCCAACTCCTTACTATTGTGAACAGAGCTGCGATAAACATGGGTGTCCATATATCTGCTTGGATGTCAGTTACGGTCTCTTTGGGATATATTCCCAGTAGTGGAATTGCTGGGTCAAATGGTATCTCTATTTGCAACTTTTTGAGAAAGCGCCATACCGCCTTCCACAATGGTTGCACCATTTTACATTCCCACCAACAGTGAATAAGGGTTCCAGTTTCTCCACAACTTCACCAGCATTTGTTTTTGTCAACAGAACAGCAAGCAACAAGCAACAAAAACTCTTTTTAATGATAAAAAATTTAAAACTTAAAAAATTAGAATTATATAACGGATCACCATTTACCTAGCACCTGCCTTAGCAGTTACTATAAGGCTACATACTAAGCCATTTCAAAGAAACCAAATTGCTTGTTAAATTATATCCATTAGAAGAAGATTTGTATCGTTCAGGAAGAGCAGAGAGCAAGTATGCCCTCCTACACAGCACCTTGGAATGAAAATGTGATAATCATCTTAAATGTGTGTTTGAATTCCAAACTTATCTCTTGGCTTTGAACAAGATACTTCTCGGCCTCACATCTTTCATCTCTAAAATGGGTTAGTAATACCCCTTGTTGTCATGTGCTGTCAAGTTGCTTGCAACTCATAGTGACCCTATGTACAACAGCTCTGAACTCCACTCTATCTTGAGCCAACCTCATTGTCTCTGACACAACTAACCTCATAACCCCAGTCATTGAGTCAATCTGTCTTATCCAGGGCTTTCCTCTCTTGCACTGTCCATCCACCCTCCCAGGCATGATGTCCGTCTCCAAGGAGCAGCTTGGTCTCATCCTCTCTAAAACGAACCATTTGTTCTCTAGCGGCCCATGGTATGTTCAAGATTCTTCTCCAGCACCACCACTCAAAGGCGTCAATTCTTCTTCTATCCTCCTTAGTCATTATCCAG